TTATGGCATAGAAATGATTCTAGGTGGTGTACCAAAAAAAACTAAACTCACTGCCATTAATTCAGATCTGACTCATATCAACCCCTCTTTGGGTTTCTGAGGCAGTGCCACTATGGAAGGATTCTAGGTGGTGTACCAAAAAAAACTAAACTCACTGCCATTAATTCAGATCTGATTCATAGCAACCCCTCTTTGGGTTTCTGAGGCAGTGTCACTATGGAAGTGGATTGCCCAACCTTCCTTCTGAGGAGTGGCTGGAGTGTTTGAACTGCCAGCCTTCTGGTTAGTTGTCAAATGCCTTAGGCATTACACCACCAGAGCTCTCAGGTGGTGTACAGAACAACATTTTTCATTTCAGTAGATATTCACTGATATTGCTTAGGATTTGATGAAAATTTTTAAATTAGCGTTATGGTATTAAGAGGAGTGGCAGGAAGTTATGGAAATGATATGTTACTGACTGAAGTTTGGGAAACATTGTGTTAGAAGACAAAGAGGGCAAATAATAAATGTGAAGGAAAAAAAGAGGAAGAGATCAGGGAAATAAAGTTAATGATAGCTTTGTATTAAAAAAAAAAAGAAAGAAAGGAAAAGCAATCATAAAGGGAAAAAAAATCCGTGTAATAGGAACCAAAAGTCACTCTAGCAGTTGTTCTACAAGTTGCAGCTGTGGTCTAGAATATGTTGGGTGTGTTCTTTTGGGGAGCTCTGAGTTCTGAAAATGTGTAGGGAAGTGAATTTGCAATAATGAGAATTCAAGGAAGGCAGAAATAACATACAGAAAACTTGCATTTCAGTCATGTTAGGATGATGTCTGGGAGCACTGATTGATGCCCTTTCAGCATCAATTAGAAATCTGAGCGAGAAACACTCTGTAGTGTTAACATATGTTTCTTAGCTTCAAAAAGAAAGAACCTTAATATTGTAGCAAAAAAATCATTGTGTAATTTGGAAAGCACCTAGCACGTGATAACTTCTTGTGAGTTCTCAAGACCGATTGCAATCAGTATTCTTCCCACTCACTTGTTCTTGGGGAAGAGTCAGGAGTGGCAAAGCAAAGCCCCTTAGATGCATGGAAGTGTAAGCACTGTCTGGTAATGTAGTTTGCGCTCTTGCTTCCTGTGTCAGGTAAGAAATGTCTAGCAAGAAGGTGATCAGCACCTATCTCCCTGTAGATAACTAGGTGTTTGCAATGGTTAACAAAATTTTCAAGTTTAAGCCTCTCTGATCTTTAGAAGGAAACGTACCATTCAAGAAGCTTCTGTTATTTATGTAACTAAATTTTATTTTACCTCATTTTTCAGACATTAGTAAACTTACTTGGTGCCCGAGACACTAATGTTCTGTTGGGTGCTCTTCTGGCTCTGGCTAGTTTAGCTGAAAGGTAAGTGGATGTTATAGTATCCCTCCCACTTAAGCTGCTGTCAAAACAGTTTAGGTGGGAGGGGTGAGTGTAAACCAGTAGGTTTCTCTAGTCACTTTGCCACTTCCTAGTTAAAATTTGTGAAAGTAAACATGGAATATTGTTAGTATGTTGAAAAGAATCATGGATGGAGAAAATATCATTTTAAATTTAAGTTGGAAAGGCATTTCACAACTTAGTTTCTTTTTCTTTGTGACCGGAAATATTTACCTAGTATTTCTGTCCAACCTTCAATTACTTCTGCTTTTAAAAATAGCATATTATTTGTTTGGAAACTAAATTTTCTTTTTTT